CTGCACTGGGAAGCCTCAGTGAACCGAAGGTGATTTGACAGGACATAAATCAGTAAATTGTCCAGGGGTGGTTGTGTTGTTTAGGTTCTTCAGCATGTAACACATAACACAATATTGTGTTAATTAATCATCATTTAATTATCATCAAGAATAAAAAAGAAGCAGGCTAACTTTCTATAAGTTAAAACAATATAAAAACATACTGTTAAACATTAGATTAACAGTAATATGCTCTCTCAAACAGAAGCTTTTACTAAGATGTATGGACGTATATAAAGGCTTCTATCTGTCAGTTTATAGTATATGCAGAATCATTACTTTCAGATGTTTAGTTGGTCACTCCCAGTTCAGTATTTTCCTCAGTAGCTGCTTTCATCCAGATGACATTTGGGAGAGTTTGCAGCAGTCCAGTCAGCAGGGCCGTTGATAATGTGTTTGTTCGGCTGTTGGTTTCAGGACACTGAGAACTGTTATAGTGCAGCAGATGCTGGGCAGTGTGCGGACAGCACTGATAACGCCATTCTAGAGTTTTTGCCCTTGGGTTAATAGAAGTGATGTGTCCACTAACGCTTTCCTGTGTCAGTGGCAGCAGAGTGCTCTCAGATATTTTCTTGTTAAAATATGCTGAGGTCCAGATGAAGAAGCTGCTGCTGAGTGATTTATTGCACACCTTGCTTTTTCTGACTGGTTACATCTCATCTTCTTTTATGCAAAGGACTCGCTCTTAATTTATAATGACCACCTACACATGTACTAATCATGCTGCTTAATCACAACTGGGGAGCTTCATAAACACGGTATTCATCTGGCCTGATTGCCATGCTGCCTGTGCGTTATATAAAGAACAAAAGGAGGAGGTGGGAGAGCAGACAGAAATAGAGATTACTGGGTAAAAGCCATCAGGTGTTTAAAACGGGCTGGTACTTAAATGGAAGGGTCCTACTAAAGAAGAGAAAGGTCAAACTAATTTCCCCGCTGTACACACCATAATAGTTTTTAGAACTTGCATATTGATTGTATGATCTAAACTGAATATTACACAACTGCAAAAGGTTTTCACAGGACTCTGTGCATACCTGTACACTGTTGCTGCGTCTGCAGGAATTAGCCGAGGAAATTCAGCCCAAGCCAGAGGTCAAAGGTCAGAGTAATTGCAAAAACAGGTTTGCAGTAATGAACTGCTTCTGGAATAATGTTCGGAGGACACGTGAGGAGGGGGGATGTTTGGCTACAATGCACGATTGTCCATCACACAGTATTCTAGAGAAAAGGACATCTGCCCCACAGCTACAGCTTGGCTAAAATTGGGTCATGAAACAGCAGAATGAGCCCAAGCACAACAATAAATCTGCAAGGGAGTTACACAGAGGCTAGCTAGC